GCTTGACCGTTGTCAAGATCTTGAATTGAAGTTGGTATTTGCTCTTGTAGATTCAACTTTTACCACTGAGTCGGTATATCCATTGAGAGTTCCTCAGGTTATCCTTAAGAATATTCAGATTAATATTCTCCAAGAACTTCCTATTGAGGGTGGGAATACAGTTTAGACTCGTGTACCCGTTGGAGTATTCATCTGCATCATATTTGGCTTTTGACTAAGAGAATATCTGCCGTCTCATCTGCGAGACAGTGTTCATTGTCTCATTGTGGGAAACAGTGCTTGCTGTCTCGCGACGCGAGACGGCTCTCCAGTATTTGCTGTCTCGCCAGGCGAGACAGTATTTGCTGTTTTCTGTCTCGCTGAGCGAGACAGTGTTTTCTGTCTCGCTGAGCGAGACAGAGTTTTCTGTCTCGCTGAGCGAGCCAGCGAGTATAAAACTCGAACTTAGGGTTTTTTAGGGTTTTTTCACGTCGGATTTTGGCGATTTCCAGGTGATTTTTTGGGCGATTTTCGACCAGTTTTCTCCTATTTCTTCTCCTCCTTGTTGCCGACTTGGGTGGTGTTCTTGTTTGGGAAGATTGCATTCGGATTTCAAAGGTTTGTTCATCCCCTTTTCTCCAAAATTTTGACTTTCTTCAACTGTGACTTTGCATGCACTGTTTCGGTTGCATTTTGTAATATTTTGTCCAATTTCACGTCCAAAACCCTAACTTTCCTCTTGGGTTCCAATATAGCTTGCATTTTCATCATGTCGCCGCGTAGAGCTCGAGGGACCCGAGGCCAACAGACTGTTCCGAGCCCTTGTAGATCATCTACTTATCATGTCGCCGCGTAGAGCTCGAGGAACCCGAAGCCGTCCGACTGTTCAGAGCTCTGAGGAGGTTGCCCCTACTGTGATCTTGTGTGGAGGTATATCTCTTTCACTCTTTTTCGAATTTAAATACTGTACTCCATCAATTTCATATATATGCACCTATATTTGTATGCAGATCCTCGTTTGTATCCTTTGAGATACCCTCGAGAAGAGCCGGTATCCTCCTTTGAGGGGATCGACGCTTAAAAGTGTTTGTTTTGCTTGGACAAAACACACTTCATAATATCCTCGTTTGTATCCTTTGAGATACCCTCGAGAAGAGCCGGTATCCTCCTTTGAGGGGATCGACGCTTAAAAGTGTTTGTTTTGCTTTGACAAAACACACTTCAGAATACACAGGGGCGATTTCATATCATCCCACGTGTATTGAAAGGTTTTCGTATGCCGTTATAATGCCCGTGTATAGTAACGCATATCTTTTTATACATGTGGTAGATAAAAAGAAATCGTCACACCTGCTGTGAGATGGCGACTATATCTTATAGAGTAAGATATACCATTTTCTCTAAAATTTTAGGACTACAGGATCCCGTTAATTGAATCCTCTCCCCAGTTCAGCTCTGGCTACAGCGAAGATGCTAGGGAATTAATCCGGCGAGGTAGTTGTCGTGTTCTACGACGATTAATCACGGATGCGACCTTGACCTCGGAGCAAGACTTGAATCAATGTATAAGGAAGCCGGACTTCTTGTTTGGTGATTCGGTGAAAGATCCAGAGGTCGCTCTCTGCAAGCATGCGCAATGGTTGCACCAGAGTGGGTCATCTTTCTTGTATCTGCCTTTTATTCCCCGAGATCACTCGCTATTAAAATTCAGGAACTTATCGGTTGGGCGTGAGATGTTCTGGAGGTTAACTGAAAACCACGAACGTATTCATTGTGGTTTCATTGGAAAAGAAACCACCCCAGGTTCCATTGAAAGAGCTCATGTGAGGGGACTTCACCCGGGTGTCTTAGGACAAGACAACATACCTCAGAATGAGAAGATAGTACAAGCCAACACCGTGAAGAACCGGTTAGCGGCAGCAGGAAAAAGATTACCCAGAGAGACTTTTAGATGCTATGGATGGGTCCATTATTCTGGGAACAAATGGTGGTGGACCAGGATGACCCGATATGTGTTAAACCGCTTTGGGCGAGAGTTAGCAGAATTAGGGTTAGATGTCCCGATTCGTGCCACCATGCATGGCCTGCAGATTAGTGTAGGTCATTTCCTCTGCTTGTTCGAGATCTACAACCCGGACACTAATACATTTTTTACCAAGAACGGGGAGCTTGGACTACCGCTGCATGAAATGATGCAAGTATCTGCTTTGCCTATGGGCGATGTTCCTTATCAAGAATTCTTTTCAACCGCCAATCAGCTGAACAAGATGAAAGAAAGCTCGACTGTGACTCACGATACTTTATGGGAATTGACCTGCCATTATCATATAGCTATGGCTGAGATGGAGCCCAAGGCCAGAAAGAAATTTCCTCAAGTCAGCTTAAAACAATTTGCTGATTATCTATTCAAGAACTTGGATGCCCGTTCGGCGGATGTATGTGGGTTGTCTCCTTTGAATTCGGACGAAATCAATCATCTGTTAAAGAAAACAAACGCGCAATCTTATACTTCGCGCTCAGAGGATGGATTTTCACATGGCACTAAGTTCCGCTCTTATCTGTGGCAAGCTGGTGTTCCAATTAGCCCTACTGCTCTGCTGGCGGGTTTTCTTGCTTTATGGCTAAAGAGGTGCGTGGTTCCTCACCAATCCGCAGATGCGATGCCAATGGAAGTGTTGTATCCGGCCGTCCAGCTAGCTACAGGTCGCAAATTATCTTTGCTTCCCGCTATGGTGGCCGATATTCACAGTGGATTACGGCAATTAATCTCCGTATTTACTCAGGAGAAAAAGAAACCATCCGCCAGTCTGTCCGTTCCGAAATTGGAGCTGCCTTACACTTATTTGATGACCTGGTTAGTACTTCACCGGCCAGATTTAATGGAAGCTCCTGAGACAGTAAATCCTAGTATCCCTCTGTTACAGAATCTCGAATGTTGCAAATGGACCAATCATCGAGGGCCGAACATAATAAGGCAGTTTAAAATCCATAAGTGTTGGGAATTCTTCCCCTGCTTCCCTCAGTTCTCCGGTACCTACAATACTACTTTAGTAGATGCTGAAGACCCAAGGCAGAATCGCACCATCTTGGATGTCGGGTGCTTCAGATGGTTGATGAACATTCGTCCCGGATATCTGTTGTTCAGGGTAAGAGATACTTGTCACATTGAACCTTATCTCCCATGTCGATTCGCCCGTCAGTTCGGCTACGATCAAATATATGTCGGTAATCCGAACCGCCACCTTAGCTTTCGAGGTGGACTTATCGACGGTGCGAGGGCTTGGTTCTGGAGCATCGTCGGCTGTACAAATGTCGAGTTTGATCTTCCTTTAGAGGCGCCGCCATTACGGATGACCTTCCTCTTTTGCAAATGGTTGATAGCCGCCAATATTGTTACTCGACGTAGGAGGATATCAGATTCAGAGGAAGAGATAGCTCCTTCCCCTTAGAGACGCCGCCTCTACGGATGACTTTCCTCTTTTGCAAATGGCTGATAGCCACCAATATTGCCACTCGACGTAGGAGGATATCAGACTCAGAGGAAGAGATAGCTCCACGACAAGCAACAGAAGTGACCCGTGAAGCTGTGATGTCGCCTCGAGGAAAAGAGGCTGCTGAATCATCAAGGAAAGGAAAGGAACCGGCTCTCCCAGTTGATAGTGAAGAGGAGTTTGATAGTGAAGCAACCGAAACTTCAGAAGGGGAAGGTGAGAATGAATCAAGTTCTGAGGAAGTATCTGGCCTTCCCGATTCATTCTTTGATAGAGGACTTGTAAGGCCTTCTGTCGCTCCGACCCAACCACAAGCTGCTCCAAAGAAACGTAAGGAAAGAGTCGTCATGGAACATCCTAACCGGATGACGGTAGAAGTTCTTAGTTGCGACGAAGAGGATGAAGAGGATATGGTGCCTCTCATTCGTCGGCAAAGATCTCAATCTTCCACTCAAGCTCAAACTCAAGTTTCTCCCCGAGCTGAGTTACGCACTAAACATCGTCACGAAGGTTCTGATGCACGTCCTCTGAAGAAACAAAAGAAAGCTGCCTCTAAACCGCGCGTTCATCTTCCTGCTGTAGAAGAGACATCCGGTCGTAGTGCTTCTTCTGATGAACAAGGTAACTATTTGTTTTTTGTCCCTTTCACATTTTTTTTATGCTTGAACTCATTCCATTTCTAATTTCTGTAGAGAGTCAAGAAGAGGGAGAATATCGAGTTGGAGCTGCTTCTCCTGGAGGTATGGAGACTGAGGAGACCAGCTTCGTCCAGCAAATGCAAGATGCTTTGAAAGAAGAACCAGCTGGTGTTCCACCGACTCCTGTGGTTGATTCATCCGCTACGGACGCAGGTACTGATCTTTCTCCTCTCGGTAGAGAAATTCGAGAAATGAATGAGTCGGATCGTGTGCCTCCTCTAATGACCTGTGCGCTTTCTCTCCTTTTATTCAAATTAAAAGAAGCAGGTACAAGTAGTGAAGCTCTCAAATCCGCCCCGACCAACGAAGGTAAAATCGATCTTTGTCTTGGGCAATTTCGTCTAAATTTACGTGTCATTTACGATTCAATATTTTTTTTTGTAGACATCCCGATGCATGAGCCTATTGAAGGAGAAGCTACCCATGCCACTAAAGTCGATGATTTTAATAATTTCGACTTTAATATCTCAGAGGACGACCATCAGCAAATCCTGGATTCTTTGTTAGATAAAGCTTCTGGTCCAGCTATCGGCTCAGATATTGGAATTGGTTCTCTCGAAGCAGGTCCCTCTGAGAGTAAGACTTTGGCCCTGTTAACTCCGTATGTATATACATATATATTTTGACTTGATTAATTATATAAGCGTTTGAATTATAGGACCAGTTATTGGAACTGATACTACTATCATCACCGAAACATCTAAACAACCGGAGGGTAGTGAACTCGTGCCATGGGCAGGAACTGAGGTTGATTTGCAATCATCAGTTCTTGAACCTCAACCTTCTACTCCTATGGACCCCATGATGATAGAAGTCATTGTCACTCCCCAGATTAGTCCAGTTGCAACAAAAGCGAGACCAACTGAAGAAGTTGGTACATCGGCCGATGTTGTGACTAGAATTGGTGAGTTTCATTTATCGTTTGTTTCAAGCTCGGATTATCATTATGCTCATTGTAATCCTCCTGTTTGTAGAATCTCCTCTTAAAGAGTCTCTTAGTTTGGACCCGCCGTCCTCTGAGACTTTAGTTGAAAAAGTCCCTGATGTAGCGGGTGCATCAACAGCTACCATTCCTGAACCAATCTTGACTGTTCAGGAATCCAGATTACCATCCTTGAGCGAACCAAGTCATGCTGAAGGTTCTTCCGTCGAATTTGGTATGCTTTAGTTTGTTGTCTTGTATGCATATATATATACTGTACTGACTTATTTGACTTTCTCGCAGTTCCTTCATCATTATCAACTCAAATCCAAGCGTTATTGGTTGATGACGATCCGGACAAGTCTGTTATCTGCTCTAATCTCCAAGGCTTCATCTCCTTTTTGAACTCTATGGTCGATCGCATTCTCTTCAAAAGATCGTATTTTGAGAATTATAAAAAATCTTTTGAGCGTTTTATATCAGGGTTCAGAGAGGAAGGGTATAACGACTTAGCCGATTCACCGGGATTTAGAATCGAGTCGAGCGGAAATAGCTCGCTTAGAGGAGGAACTTGCAATGGCCAAGGATGCTCTTGATGTCTTGGAGTCTGAGTTGACGCAGGAAATTCATATTGAGGAAGACCTGTTACAGCAACTGAACCTTCAAGATAAAATAATAGCTGAAAAGGAACAAGAGGTTGTCGCGCTTCAAAGTGTTGATGAAGAAGCTTTCAAGATTAAATTGAAGGCTGAGCTTGAACAGACTTACGCGTTAGAGCTGTCAAAACTTGAAAATCAAATTAGTCAATATAAGCTCTTGTAATCGAAGAACATATATTTTTGTAGCTTTGTTTGAACACTCTTGGTCAATACATTGAATCTTTTTGCTCACTGAGATCTTTTATTATAATTACTCATTCTTGTTTAGAATAAATAACCATAATACTTATAGGATTTTTGGCAAATCCTCAGCCCTCAACGGATTTGATATGCCTTTACCGACTACCGTTTGAATCGGGCTAGTATGTGAATTATCTAAGTCCGTTTCACATATAACGTTGCGCTAAAAGAATTAAACTCTTTTAGACTTTGAACTATCATATTGAATATGTAGGTTACATGTGTTAGATGTAGGCTTATCTCTAATAAGGAATAGAGATAACATCCCCCATATGTGAACGACATGGATTTTGGAATGAGAGTAGGTTATATTTCCTATACAGTAAAATGAATCCAGAATTGGAGAGAAAAAGAATTGTATATTCTATTTCTTAATCTCTTGTTTGTTGGTAGAGATAAACCCGGAATCGGAGAGGAAGAATTTTATATTCTATCTCCTGGTCTCTTGTTTGTTGGTAGAGATAAACCCAGAATCGGAGAGGAAGAATTTTATATTCTATCTCCTGGAGTAAAGAAACTCAAAGTGGGATCTCTACTTAGAGGATCTGGATTGGTTTGAATAATCCTAACTGTCATAAGGTTTGAGTATTCAATTTCAAAAGTGGACCTTTCGTTCGTAAAATGAATCGAAAGGAGATTTTGGTTGTGGTCCTAACTGAGTAAGGTTTGACCAAGTGAGAGTTTTGAGACGATCGAAATTGTAGAAAGGTTTGATCGCTCGATTTGTGGGCCTCTCGTTCATTGAAGGAATCGAGAGGGGATTTTTGTAGAAAGGTTTGATCGCTCGATTTGTGGGCCTCTCGTTCATTGAAGGAATCGAGAGGGGATTTTGGTTTTAGTCCTAACTGAGTAAGGTTTGACCAAATGAAATGTGGGAATTTAAATAACTTTAGTCCATGACGGATTTTGGTGTGCCCTTTGTCGATCGATTTGATCGGTGAGGGGTTTTGTGAGGAAAGATTAACTGTTTACAGAATTGAATCTCATCTCAACAAAGTAACTCATGAGAGTTAGTGGATTTGGTAAAAGAAAACATTCTAACATTTAGGGTTTAAATGTAGATGTCTTATTTATCACTTTTACAGTAATTGGGTTATCCCTAAGAATACCGCATACAGTATTCTTCTGGGGACTTCCCGATATATACAAGGGAAACATTTTATACTCCTATACCCGTTGGAGTTTCAGAAGAAGCAGTTTATACTCTTATACTTTTCGGAGTGTGGCGATCGTTCTCATTCAGTTTGTTTTACTATTGAGACACCGGCTTCAACCAAGGCTTGTATTGTATTTTTGAGGGTGTAGCATTTCTCTGTGGGATGAAGAATCCTCCTGTGGTACTCACAATATTTCGGGTCAGCAATCCCGCTAGTTTCCTCTTGATTTTTTATAGGCGGGAGTTTGATTTTATCATTTTCTAGAAGATATTTGAGGATGAATGGAACATCATCGTCTTTGAAGGAGTATCGTGGTATCTGACGCGACTGTTGTGGTGACCGTTCCCGTGATTGTCGTCGTGGTGTTTGATCAACAGCAAATCTAGGTATGAACTCTAGTTGACTTTCCTCAACTGTTTTTCTTTTGGGACCACGCCTAATTGAGGTGGTGACAGATTCGACTTCCTTCTGCTTTTCATTTTCATCTTCATATCTTTTTGAGCGATGTCGAAAAGAAGGAATTGGGCCACCCCCAGTATCATTGAAGGATGTGATCGTACCACTCCCAGTGTTATCGATGGGTGAATCAGTCTTGATGACTGTATTCAGATTCGGACCATCGTTATTTGTCCTATCTGAAATAGGCGTGATTGGTGTAGCGCAACGGCTAGACCCAGCTTGATGGTCAGATTTAGAAAATCTACACCTTTCAGCTTGCAACTCTCTTATTTGTCGCATAGCTAATTCCATTTTACCCTCAAATTCTTCCTTCTGCTTGATTAACGCTTCTTGAACTATTTGAGTGAGCTGGTCAGGAGTAATGGTGAACGCATCTCTAGTGTTTTTAGAAAGACGTGATAACTCGTGTAGAGTTACTTTCACTGGGATGTTAGCCAATTGGGTCATAACATCGAAGTGGTATGAAATGTTCGAACTTTCCGGTTTATCTCGTCCAATCGATCGATCGAAACGAGACTGCCTCGGAACTTGAACCTCTTTGTATTGAGGTTCTTTCTCCTTTTGCTTATCAATTCTTTGAGGGTTATCGGTTGCTACGGGTGGACTTATAATCACCCCCAGCTCCATCAGAGTTTTAGAAGGTACAGCTTTCACTACCCCCTGCTCGGCTAATTGCTCGGATGCATACGGGTGGTTGAAACAATATTCATTTCCATTCTTAGAAATAAAAGATTCCTGTTCTCCTTCGGAAAGTAGTAGGACTGGGATTTCTTCATCATTCTCCTCAGGAATTGCCGAGGCTCCGTAACAATTCTTCCCTTTGCCTTTTACCTTCTTCTTCGACGTGGATATTGTCCACTGTTCATCTTTAAGCAAATCCGGATGAACCCTAAGGATTTCGCCGTTGGGGGCTGTGTGAGATACAAGCCCCTTTTGGCGCTGTCCGTAAGGGTCATCGTTGATAGTCTGCATCTTGACCTTTGACACTGGCTCGGCTTGAAACCAGGACAAACGAACCGATCCGAAGCTAATAGAGACCGCGTTTGCGCCTACTTTCTTCTCTTTCGGATTCGGCGTCACAATACCAACATCAATTAATGTTTGTATCTTGTCTTTCAAGACATAACACGTCTTAGTTGGATGGTGAACCCTTCTGTGATATGCACAGTATTTCGGGTCATTAATCTTCGTGGCTTCTTCTTGGTTTGTGACCGGTGGAAGCTTGATCTTGTTGTTCTCTAATAAGTATTTAAAGATGACCGGAACTTCATCATCTTTGAATGAGTATTCCTTTGGAAATCTAGGCTCAGAAGTCTTGGGCTGCCTCGGGGGCTGCTGATTCTGATTTGACGCCAGCTGGAAGGATGACTGCTGCGGTTGTTGGTGCGGCGGCTGTTGCGACGTTTGATGTGCATCCACAGCTGCCGTGGACCCTCTTCCTCTGCCTCGAGGATTAAAGTTTTGCTTTTGATTATTAGCTGGTGGCAGACCTCTCTCCAAGTTCTTTCTCTTGAGAAAGCGTTCAGCCTGTTCACCCCTCACTTTCAACTCCTTCCAAGTTTTAGAGGGGACAACCCCCATGACCTCTAACACATCCAATGACAAGTTATTGTGACATGTCTGTAGGATGAACTCTTCTGTGAGTGGATCTCTGCAGTTCACCACTTTGTCCCGGAATCGTTTGACAAAGACGTCAACCGATTCCTCATCCTTCTGTTTTTCATCCAATAACGTGCCAATCGAGACCTCTGTGTCATCATCGAAGAAATTGGTGAGGAATAGTTCTTCCATGTCCTCCCAGCTAGTGATACTCCCGGGCTTAAGGCGTCGGTACCAATCGAAGGCAGGCCCACGAAGGGTTCCTACGAATGACCAGACCATCAGGGCTTCGTTCCCGGATATTGCGCCGAGATGTGACTTGAAATAGATCAAGTGCTGAGTTGGTGAACCCCTGCCATCAAAAGGAGTAAAGTTAATCAAATTAAATTTCTGGGGATAAGGAATCAGGTCCCACTCCCTCGGGTACGGGTATGGAATGCCCGTTTTCTTCACTTCCTGAGCCGTCATAAGAGCGTTGACTTTGCTCTCGAGATCATGCATCTTCTTATCCTCTTCCTCATTTTTCTTCAAGTAGATCTGTGGAGGTTGAGTGGATGACTTGGTCGGACCGCTTCCGGAGTTGTCTTTATCTGGAGGAGGATCATCAAAGATAGTCTCGTCCTCTTCATTACGCCGGCTGGATTCCGCCTTCTGGCTCGACTCCGGTTGGTGTCGCTGCACCTGTAAGTCTCGCATCTGCTGCATAGTCAACTCCATTTCGGTTTTGAACTCAGCTCTAATTTCTTCACGTTGTTTAGCTAACGCTTCCTGCAGCATTTGAGCTAGTTGATCCGGTGTGATTGCGAACGATTCCCTGACTCGTCCAACACAGGACGCAGTATCGTCCGATGCAATAGCGGCACAAGTATCCGACAATTCTTCATCTGAAGATAAACCCTCGTGCATTCTCCTGTAATCTCGACGTAAGTTATGTTTGACCCGTATTTTGATGTCTCGGATGATATTTCTTTTATGATATGGATTATTTCAGTTATGGGTTATTCATTATATTCTTGTTATGTGTGATCGGGGACCTATGACTTCGTATTGTATTTGTTTCTAGACGCTTAGCGTATTGGATTGAGAAGAAAAGAAAGAGGAAAAAAAAGATAGTGTATATTTTTTCTCAATCTAATACGTCGCGGGCTTGTTCACGTCCCGATTCCCTGGTATTTTGGGAAGCGAGGCGTGACACGACAACTCGTATCAAGTTGGTATAAGAGCTTCAGATCCGGTGAAGGGGCATCCTGTGTATGGTCCTTACTCGATCACAGTACAAGAAGCTTGGCGAGATCCTTATTTTCTTGGAAGAAGTCCAGAAGATATGGAAGGAGAAGATGTCTGAAGCAGATAACTCAGCAAGACTTGACGCTATGGAGAAACAGATAGAGACGATCGGGACTACTCTTACTCAGCTCGTGGGTCTCATTAATGGAAGGGAAAAAAAGGAGGGATCTTCTTCGAAGGGTAAGAAGAAACTTG